ACCTCAATGCACTGTTTAATTGGGCAACTATGTGGCAAATGAGATTTAATGTTGATAAATGTAAGGTTATGCACTTGGGGGTTAAGAATATGCATGCATCATACATACTGGGGGGGGGGGGGGGGACAACTGGGGGAATCAATGGTGGAGAAGGTTCTGGTAGATCACAAGCTTAATAATGGCGTGCAATGCCAAGCTGCGGCTTCTAAAGCGAGGGGTATAGACTCCAGAGAGAGAGAGATATCATATTACCCTTGTACAAATCATTAGTAAAACCTCATCTGGAATATGCAGTTCAGTTTTGGGCACCAATTCACAAAAAGAACATTGGGGAACTTGAGAAAGTACAGAGAAGAGCAACTAAACTGATACGAGGCATGGAGGAGCTCAGCTATGAGGAAAGATTAGAGGAACTGAATTTATTCTCTCTTGAGAAGAGGAGATTAAGGGGGGATATGATTAACATGTATAAATACATCAGTGGTTCATATAGTAAACTCGGTGTAGGCTATTCACCCTGAGGTCAACACAGAGGACAAGGAGGCACTCTTTACATCTGGAGGAAAAGAAATTTAATCTCCAAACACGGAAAGGTTTCTTCACAGTGAGAGCTGTGAAAATGTGGAATAGACTCCCTCAAGAGTTGGTTCTGGCCAGCTCAGTGGATTGCTTCAAAAAAGGCCTGGATTGTTTCTTAGATACACAGAATATAACTAGATACTAACATTATAGGTAAAGTTGATCCAGGGAATATCCGGGGGATCAGTAAGGAATTTTTTCCCAGCAGGTGCAAATTGGATCATGCTTTGCTGGGGGTTTTTTTTTGCCTTTCATCTGGGTCAACTGTGGGTATAGGATTATAATTTTTTATTTTTTTATTTTATATGGTTGAACTGGATGGACTTTTGTCTTTTTTTTTCAGCCAGACTAACTATGTAATATCCTACTTCTGGGTATTTTTATTATTTTATATATCATTTACAGTAAAAATTAACCCCTTATATTAGTATCTGCTGTTTTTTGTAATTTAAAGGGCTATTTTTTTTTTATTCCATCATAATAGGTGATTGGGGAAAAAAAGCATTCTGCTGCTACTAATTGTATTATACTGTCCATATACATAATGATTTTTAGACGATAATATTCGTACGAAAATTCTTTGTACATTCGATGAATGAAGAATGTCTTTCAAAAATTTCTGAACAAAAACCCACATATATTGTCCAAAAATTGGTTAAATCGAGTTTACTTTTCTGTTCCTTCAAATTTTCCTATCACTGTGGTAGAAAACAAAAGTCGATTTGACCTCACTAACAATTAGAAAATAAAACAAACATTCTTAAAACAAAAATTTTCAAATGAAAAATTCATTAGTTTATGACCATCATAAGTGACAGCAAGCACAGGTAGCTTGGATCCAGCTACCTGCCTATGACAAGAAACTGATAATCTGCAAAACTTTACAGATTTTTTTCTTTCCTCGCCAGCTCTTCTCCACATTCAGCTCTCTGCTCTCTCCACACCCCACCTCCACCCAGTACCTCACTCACCGCCCAGGAGATTGCTAACCACTTTCAAAGCAAGATCGACGCAATTCGCAGGGACATCACCACTGCTCAGACTTCCGCCCCACCTAGCATCCCTCACATGAAAACCCCCTCAACACTCCTCTCCTTCGACCTCGCCACTGTCCAGACCTCCACCCCGTCCAACATTCCTCACACTAAAACCCCCTCTCAACACTCCACTCCTTTGACCCTGCTACCACTGAAGAGGTCACTAAGGTCTTCTCTGTAGCTTGCCTTACCACCTGCCCCCTTGACACTGTCCCCACACAACTCCTACGACCACGTTCCTCCTCCATCCTACGCACCCTCACTCACATCTTTAATCTCTCCCTCTCTACTGGCGCATTCCCCTCCCCTCTGAAGCACGCGCACATCACACCCATACTTAAAAAACCCTTCCTGGATCCCACCAACCTAAACAACCTTAGACCCATCTCCTTGCTGCCATTTACATCCAAACTCCTTGAGTGCTTAGCCTATAATCGCCTAAGCTCCCACCTCACCGGCAACAACCTCCTTGATCCCCTACAATCTGGCTTCCATCCCCCTACACTCCACTGAAACCGCCCTACTTAAACTCACCAACGACCTGCTAACCGCCAAAGCCAATGGCCACTACTCAGTGCTACTACTCCTCGACCTCTCTACGGCTTTCGACACGGTCGACCACCCACTCCTCCTCAAAAAACTATACTCTTTTGGCCTCAGAGACTCCGCTCTCTCCTGGCTCTCTTCCTATCTATCACAACGCTTCTTCAGTGTTACCTATAACGCTGTCACCTCCCCCTCACACCTCCTCTCTGTTGGGGTCCCCCAAGGTTCAGTCCTGTGGCCCCTTCTCTTTTCCATCTACACCTCCTCCCTTGGTCAACTGATACACTCCCGCGCCTTCAACTACCATCTCTATGCCGATGACACTCAAATCTATCTCTCTACCCATCGCCTCAGCCCTTCAGTCTCCGCCCGAATCAATAGCCTTCTGAACGACATATCAGATTGGATGTCATTCCACTTCCTCAAATTAAACCTTGCCAAACCCGAGCTCCTAGTTTTCAGCCCGTGCCCCTCCCCGACCTCTCCATCACGACCAACAACGCCACCATCAGCCCCACCTCGCAAGCCAGAGTACTAGGTATCATTCTAGACTCCAATTTCTTTCCAGCCCCAGGTCCAATCGCTGACAAATTTCATCCAGACTCCACCTTCGCAACATCTCCAAAATACGCACGTTCCTAACTCCACAAACTACAAAGCAACTCATTCATTCCCTTATTATATCACGACTTGACTACTGTAACTCCCTCCTCGCCAGCCTACCTCAACAAAGGGCTATAACCACTTCAGTCTATCCTGAATTCTGCGGCCAGACTCATCCACCTCCCTAACCGCTCCGTATCCGCCAGCCCCCTCTGCCAATCCCTCCACTAGCTTCCGATTGCCCAACGCATAAAATTCAAATTATTAACATTGACGTACAAAGCTGTTCATAACACTGCCCCAAACTACATCACCGACCTGATATCCATCTACCACCCAAAACGCACTCTCCGCTCCTCACAAGACCTCCTACTCTCTAGTTCACTGGTCTCCTCCTCCCATGCCCGTCTCCAGGACTTCTCCAGGGCTTTCCCCATCCTCTGGAACTCACTACCCCAATCCATCAGACTGTCACCTACCCTCCTCACCTTTAGACGCACCCTGAAAACCCATTTCTTCAGAGAAGCCTACCCCGCCCTCACCTAATTGCTGATCTCCTCCGCTCTTCCCACCACTGCATTCCCCACAGCTATTTCCTCCAGTACCACTCTCCCCTCCCTCCTAGATTGTAAGCTCCAAGGAGCAGGGCCCTCGAACCCCTCGTGTATTGTTACTGTGCTGTCTCGTGTACTGTCTCCCATTATAATGTACAGTGCTGAGCAAACTGTTGGCGCTATATAAATACTGTATAATAAGAATAATAAATACTAATAATCTCTGAGTCTCATGAATCTGATATACCTCTACTAGTATATCCAGTATATCTCTTCTGTCTGGTATTCTTAGAGTGGATTAGATATTTTGTTCCCCAACCATATTGTTGGTTATTTATATTTACCACTGCATATAGATATTCAAGAATATATATATTTTTTAACTTTATATATTAACTGAATTATACACCAAACTTTTTTTGAGGTTTTTATCCAATTAATTGAAACAATAATCGGCCAACTAATCGATTATGAAAAAAACGGTGCTCTTTGGTAACATGTAGGGCTACAACTAACCGTTTATTTCATACCTATGTATGATATGTGTATTTAGGTGCCTGTACCCCTCCAATTCCCACCCACACGGTCATGTCATTCATTCACAGCGATCTGTGAATGAACTACAGTTACTGTCTGCCACCTCAGCAGATGGCTTTTAGTTCTCAAGGAACTGTGATAACGCATATGAGCACTCTCAAAATTCATTGTTCTTCTTGCTTTGTAGTAACTGTCTGCCTGAACATTAGGAATGGGCAGATAGCAATACTGCGATTCTGCAGGAGCCTGACCTTGCAATGACAATCTGCTGATTGCCGGTGCAATGTTCTGCAGGCTCCAGGAAAAAGAATAATAAATGCACATTTGTTTTATACCTGCAAAGTTTGGTGATAAAATGTGATCCTGTATAAAAATTGTCTTTCCATTTCCATCTAAAAAACCTTTGTAGTAGCCATCATGTCCGTCAAAAAATATATACATTCAGAAATATAAATTTAGAAAAACTGTGTTAGTGGTGATGTCAAATATTATGTTTGATAATAATTTGAATGTTCTAAGTTTAAAAAAAAGTCTGGGTTAATCACATTGCAGCGAAAAAGCAGAACACATCTACCACCTGCTGCTCTCAAAAATAGTGTTTTTTTTTTCTGCCAAGAGTATTTGCATTTTTTAAGCCAGTTTACGTGGAGTTTACATGTCAACTTACAATGTTGCAGCTGCTAATGTCAGAGTGGCTTATTCAAAGATGGCCAGATTTATCTATAAATTGTTGGACATGGTCTTCACATGCCTTTAGCATTCCTTTATGTTCTGTGCACACTGGTGTTTTTTTAAGCTATTATCAGCCTTTTCTCTGCTCCTAGGAACTAAATAGTGTTATCCTATGTGTCCATACACACTATTTTAGGCTAGTAGCATTTTTTAAGCTTCAGCATTTAGAATCAGAAAAAAAAAATGTGTTTTTGTAGAGTTTTGCTGAGCTCCTGTACAGTTTATTACACATGGACATTGAAAGATAGTTTACCAAAAACATTGCTCACTTTTTGTCAATAATTTTTGTCACTGGCAATTATTTCACCTCCCTCTCTAGAGCATATGACTTATTGATTTATTTTGCTGTATTGTGCTTTACCTAAATACCTTGTAAAGTCTAATTATACATTGTAATATTTACTTATCTTAGTGTTTATGTCAAGAAATGTTGGCAGATACCAAAGTAGCAAAACTGAAAACTCTCAAGATGGCAACCCATTACTAAAATACCTTACAATGAAAATAAAGGCAACAGGTCCTATTACTGTTGCAGAATATATGAGGGAAGTTTTAAACACAAATCCTTTGAAGGTAAGAGCTGGCACTTGTTTAAGACAAATTATCCACTTGTTAGCCTCTCTGATTGCTGTCACAAGAGAGCTGGCCGCTGGCTCTAAACAAAAACGGTACCAAGATGATGACTGCAGCTGCAGGCATCATCCCAGTACAACCATTTGAAGACCGGTGGCGTACCAGGTACGTGAGTGGTTGGCAAGTAAGGTGGTTGGCAAGTGGTGTAATAGTTGTAGGGGTCTGTGTATAAATTGCTGTACAAATGTGACTAACATTCACGCTACCCCCCATAAAACTTGCCATATTTCTTGTAATATAGTTATCTCCGATGATCTCTAGTGCTGTCTAGTGGTCATAATATTTTTTTGTCTGATTGAGGTATTTTAAAAAGATGCATGTTATTGCCACTAGATGGATAGATTAAAGTATAACTAAAGGCAAAACTTTTTTTTAGCTTTGGATGGAGTGTTAATGGATTATTGCTGTCTGTGCCCTCTGTGAAAGTTAGTAAAGAAGTTCCCAAATTTAGGGTTGTCCACAGAAAAGTAATAGAGGGGCCATTGAAATTTTTCTCTTATGGTTAAGTTACTGTATGCAAATAAAATAAATATATATTATGAATGTTTATGGATCAGCTTATCTTAACTACATAAGTATTCTCTTTTTTTTTTTTTTTTTTTTTTTTTTGCTTTGCCATTGTTTGTTTATTGTAAACTGCGCTCTACTGTGGATCATTTCATGTTCAGAAATCTTTAAAAACTGCACCTTCAAAAGAACTTCTTGCTTATGAGATACGTGTATGATCGACTGCATTCATCTTTGTTGTTACCATAGAATACAATGCACAGCATTTTGGTGCATTTTAAGCCAGCACAGTGATGTGATCCTGTGAACATTGAGATGCACAGTATTGCTTAAAGTAATTCATATAATATGTTTGCCATTTTGATGGGTAAAAAAAAATGTAAAGCTTCAGGTTCCATTCACACCAGATGCAGTGGGGCTGCGCTGGGCAGTTATTTCAGCGCACTTCCACCGCATGACATTGCAAAATGCCTTGTCTCCTGTCAGCCCAATTCATACCACTGTGTTGTGGTGGTGTGTGGGCACGGTGCCCTGAAAAAAAGTAGTGCATGCACTACCTTTTTTTTTTTTTTTTTTTTTTTTTTTTTTTTTTTGAGCACCGCAGAACAGTGCGAGGCATCACGTCACACCACATGGCGGCCAGTTGAACTTTTTGAAATGTCTGTGTGACATTTCAAATAAGTTCATAAAAAAAAGAATAGTGCTAACAGAGGTAAATTCCATTTTGCCGTATAAGAAGCTTATTTATGTACATAAAGGTTGCCCCATGAAATATAATAAAGTATGGGACCGGTGGCTTGCCTCTTCCGCTACTTAGGTGGCCGAAGGAATGAGGCAGTCTTCTGTGGAACCTATTGCGGAGGTTATATCTCCAACTCTTCATCCTGATTGTATTTTCCTACTTGCTCTATGACCCCACCCAGTACCACGATTTTGTTTACTATTGCTTTCTTTTGAAATGCCACTGCACCATTGCCTATGTTTGTATATTATTATCTAACTGTCTCTTATGTGTTTAATGTTAATATTTCCGTTATGTCAGCCACTATTAATGTACCATGTCTTTTATGTTGACGCTTAATACGCCCTAACCTGGGGGCTTTATTTTGCTGCTTGTTTTTTTTATTCTCATTTTTCCTATATCCCCCCCTCCTTTCTTTTCTTTTTTTTTTTTTCCTAACTTTTTTACCATTGTTTGTTATATGATTGGTATATGTTTTACCCCTGTTTAACTTTCAATAAAGTTGCTTTTCAAAGTTTAAAAAGAAAAAAAAAAAAAAAAAAAAATAGTGCGGTACAAAGCATTGGCTGGTGTGAATGGACCCCAACAATCACTTTAACTGAACTTGATACAAATTAATAAGTGGTCTGATTGATTTAAAAGCTGAAGATTTTTAAATGAACATAGATAGGAATGCAGATACATTTATTATATATGCATAGAATTACCATTTCCAAGAACAGACAATCGTGAAGGCTGGGAAAGGGACAAGCATTTTGTTTAGATGCTGATTATGTATCTTTTTTAAGGGCAGTGATGGCTGCCTGTCCTGATATTTGAGCATACTTTGAAATGCATTGATAATTGAAGCAGTCTATAATTATTTGCAATGATTATTATAATTCTGATATAAAGAAAAATACATGTAACGCTGATGTGGGAAATAGGATTGTAGTAGATATGATGCCTTTGGTGCGCCTGATACATGCCAACCTACATTTTATATGGATTTAAAAATACCCCAATTTAGATCTCTTTATATGTAAGACAAGATGAAAAATATGAGTTCTTGGTTTTCTTAAAACTGCCAGTTCTCTTTTTTTTCTCTGTTTTTGTTTTTTCTATGGATAATTTAAGTTGGACATAGGTATTTTTTACTTAACACCTACTTACTTTTTTGACCTACACCCTATATAATATATTTAACTATTTAGAATATTGTTTGAAAAATCAATGCATTGCAGAAACCTGCAATAACTAGACACTTATTTAGACCACACTAAATTTCTAAATGCCAAGTTGCTTGCTACAAGTGGTCAAAAATAGCAGCTTTATCTGCGTGTATTTCACATTATATTCTCTAAAGGCAATCTCAGTCAGTTTAAGTAAGGCCTAATTAAATATATATAACTTACATATTAGATTATATATGTGTATTTTTGTACACAGTATATTCTTATTTTTCTTTTTAGCATTTATACCACTAACTAACTAGATCCATTTCTTCTGTTATACTTTGAACACAGGGTTATTATATGCACCATGACATGCTGGGAGAACATGGAGATTTTGTTACATCCCCTGAAATAAGTCAAATATTTGGAGAGGTAACATATTTTAGTGTGATTTGATCTGTATTACATTCAGAGAATGCTAGCAGAAGATATGTGTGACCATATGCACCCTTACACTGCTCTGCAATGCACATGCTTTGTTCTTCTGCAGTGCAATCACAAAATATAGTGTATTCTTTACTTTTCTCTATTCTGAAGTAAATGCTGGTAAACTCAGCATATTCTAACACATTGCAATGTCCATACTATGTTTATTTGCTGAGGTTTATGATTTATCTGTGCAACACAAGTGTTACTAAACCCAGGACCCTGCATTCACTCGATCTGGTCTCCCACAGTACACAGAACATGGAAATGCAATTATTTTAGTAAATATAAACTGCTAAATACCTTTTCTCATCAGCAGTTAGAGCAGTGTTGTGATTTCTATCAGTGTTCAGCAGAGCACTGGTTAAAGCTTTTAGGAGTATTCTATCTGTTCTAGGAGGATGCAAAAACCCTGACCTCTGTCTGGACAGTGCTGATTGGCCTGTGCTGATCACATGCACTCTCCCAAGAAAAAAAAAAAAAAAAACCTCTCTAGCAATACACACCAAACTGAACATGTGCACAATGTCTCCACATGATATGACTTATCAGGAGATAAGAGGGGGATACTGGAAGAAGGGGAGGATCAGAGAAGTTATGATCAAACAGCATTTTTACACAATGCGGAGAATTAACCCCTTGGGATCCACATAACAAGCATGCTTTACTGCATATCCAGACTAATTTTACTGTTGTGGGTTTAGTAACACTTTAAGCACACGGTTAAAAGTTTATGTAAAACATAGCAATGAACTTATTTGTTCACTTTCTTGTTGTTCAATTGTTCAAATTCACTTTCACCCCCTTTCCTGCCCAGGCCAAATTTCAGCTTTCAGTGCATTCATACTTTGAATGGCAGTTAGTCATGTAACACTGTACCCAAATAAAATTTTTATCATTTCGTTCACAGAAATTGGGCTTTCGTTTGATGGTATTTGATCACCACTGGGTTTTTCATTTCCTGCTAAATAAACAAAATAACATTTTGCAAATAATCTTTCTTCATAAACTTGGGCCAAAATGTAGTCTGCTAAGTTTCTTTTATAACAATAACCCAAATCAGTGTATATTATTTAATCTGTGTGAAAGTTAGAGTCCACAAACTATGTTGTGTGTTTGTACCCCCTTTTACCTTCAGAACTGCCTTTATTCTTCGTGGCATAGATTCAACAAGGTGTTGGAAACATTCCTTAGAGATTTTGGTCCATGTTGACATGAGTTATTGTTGCCTTTCTATCATCTTGAGCCATTCTGCCCATTCTTCATTGACATCAACAAGGCATTTTTTGTCCGCACAACTGCTGCCTACTGGATATTTTCCCTTTTTTCAGACCATTCTCTGTAAACCCTAGAGATGGCTGTGCGTGAAAATCCCAAATAGATCAGCAGTTTTTGAAATACTCAGACCAGCCCGTCTGGCACCAACAACCATGCAATGTTCAGAGTCACTTAAATCCCCTTTCTTCCCCATTCTGATGGTCAATTTGAACTTCAGTAAGTTGTCTTTACCACATCTAGATGTCTAAATGCTTTGAGTTGCTGCCATATGATTGACTGATTAGCAATTTGTGCTACCAAGCAATTGAACATGTATACCTAAGAAAGTGGCTGGTGAGTGTATTTTGCATTGTCTATATCCTGCCAGATATGTTCAGCTGCTGTCCTTCCTATCTCCTTCATGATCATGACACACACACACACACACACACACACACACACACTCTCTCTCTCTCTCTCTCTCTCTCTCACACTCTCACTCTCACTCTCTCTCTCTCACTCATGATCATGACACACACACTCTCTCTCTCTCTCTCTCTCTCTCTCCTTCATGATCATGACACACACTCTCTCTCTCTCTCTCTCTCTCTCCTTCATGATCATGACACACTCTCTCTCTCTCTCTCTCTCTCTCCTTCATGATCATGACACACACTCTCTCTCTCTCTCTCTCTCTCTCTCTCTCTCTCTCTCTCTCTCTCCCTTCATGATGATCACACACACTCTCTCTCTCTCTCCTTCATGATCATGACACACACACTCTCTCTCTCTCCTTTCATGATCATGACACACACACACTCTCTCTCTCTCTCTCTCTCTTTCATGATCATGACACACACACTCTCTCTCTCTCTCTCTCTCTCTCTCTCTCCTTCATGATCATGTCTCTCTCTCTCTCTCTCTCTCTCTCTCTCTCTCTCTCTCTCTCTCTCTCTCTCTCTCTCTCTCTCTCTCTCTCTCTCTCTCTCTCTCTCTCTCTCTCTCTCTCTCTCTCTCTCTCTCTCTCTCCTTCATGATCATGACAAACAAACACACACACACTACAATCTTGTTCAAGATGTCTTTTGACAGCTCTTTGGTCTTGCCCATAATGGTGAGAAAGAATGAGATTCTGTACATGGGTGTCTTTTATAAACATTACGATTTGTCGTTAGGAGCACCTTCTTAAATTGACAGGTATAACCTGTGTACCACATGAGCACATAGCCAGTCTGTGGGAGCCAGAATTATTGTAGGTTGGTAGGGGATCAAATAATAATTTTACTCACTGAACTGCAACTCAATTTATAACATTTGTATCATGTGTTTTTTCCGGATTTTTGGTTGATATATTCTGTCTCTATCATTTGAAATACAGCTATGATAAAAAAAAATTATAGACCCTTAATTTCTTTGGAAGTGGCCAAACTTACAAAATCTGCAGTGGATTAAATACTTATTTTCACCATTTTGTATACCATGTATGTATGTGTGAAGCTGATCAATCATCATGTACCGACTGCCTGTCTCATTTCTTGAGGCCTAAAAATGCCAGGGCAGTACCCCAAAATACCTCAAAAATTACCCCTTTACTTCTTTTTGGAAAGTAGACAGTTTGAGGTATTTAACCGCCTCCCACCTGCCATATAGTCCAATGACAGACGCAAGACAGTTCTCTCGTTCTGGGAGGACATCATATGATGTCTTCCCATTCACACCGCGCATGCACAGCTCCGGGAGCACGCAGTTCGGCGGTGCACTGTGTCCCTCGGACACAGCGGATCACCGATCCACGGAAAGAGCCAATGATGTCGGCTCGGTCATGTGATCAGCTGTGCCAATCACAGCTGATGGCATGTAAACAGGGAAATGCCGGTTATTGTCATTTCTCTCCTCATGAGCTGTCACGCTGACAGCTCGAAAGGAGAGCAGAGCCGGTAGTCGGCGTTCCTCGGAGGGGACATGTACACTGATCATCAGGGCACTGATGATCAGTGTGCCCTGATGATCAGTGTAGCCCAAGCAGTGCCAGCTGTCAGTGCCCATCTGAGCTGCCTTTCAGTGTCACCCATTAGTGCCAGTCAGTGCCGCCTATCAGTGCCATATATGAGTGCTGCCTTTCAGTGATGCCTGTCAATGCCCATCAGTGCCACCTATCAGTGTCTATCAGTGCTCATCACTGCAGCCTCATTAGCACACATCAGTGAAGGAGAAAAAATCACTTATTTACAAAATTTTATAACAAAAACTAAGAAAAAAACGTGTTTTTTCAAAATTTTCTGTGGTTTTTGGTTTGTTTAAGAAAAAATAAAAAACCAGGAGGTGATTAAATACCACCAAAATAAAGCTCTATCACAAAAAAATGATAAAACTTCATATGAGTACAGTGTTGCATGACCACGCAATTGTCATTCAAAGTGTGACAGCGCTGGAAATTGACCTGGGCAGGAAGGGGGTATAAAGTGCCCTGTAGGCTAGTGGTTAAAAAGAGACATGGCAAGTTTTTTTTTTTTTTTGTTTTTTTTTTTTGATTTTGTTTTTTTAAGTAATTTTGTTTCAGTTGTTTGGAAAATGAAGAAATTAAAAAAAAAAAAGCATTTTTCATACTGTCACCAATGCAGTACAATGTCATCATTTTTCAATTTTATTTTTTTTTTACATACTGTGACCGGGGCACTACATTGTTGCCATAGTAACTCTGTAGTATTCTGGGTGGGGACCAGGATTTTTTTTTCGATACATTGACTTATGTACAACCAGCCTGCCCTTACAAAATTCTCCTGGTCCCAGCTGAATAGGCCAGTTTCGATCCATGTATTGCCGGCTTTAGGTACTTGCCTCACAGACGTTTATCAACAAATATCAGCAATACGCAGTCGTTTTTTCCTCTCTTCCCCATGTTATAATCCCTCACTTAGATCTTAAACCATTAATTTGTGCATTCATAATTAAACTGATATTTGTTCATATATTTACAATTTCAGCTAATTGGGATATGGTGTGTTAGTGAATGGATATCAGGAGGAAAATCAAAATCTCTTAATTTAGTGGAACTTGGTCCTGGAAGAGGCTCACTAATGAGTGACATTTTAAGAGTAAGTAAATCATAAAATGAAGGTTTGTGCGTCATCATGTTTTTCTTCTGTAGCTTGCAAATTTCTGAATACACCATTTTTTGCAAAAGCAGATTTCTGTATTTACTTGTAATTACAACCTTTATATGCTTTATTTATTAGGGTGTTTAATATACAGCGTTTCCCTAGAAATCTGTCTTTTTAGTGTTCTCTTTTTTCAGATATGGTTTAATGCTTACAAAAGTTTTTACAAAACATGGACTGGGGATTTTTAAGGCACCAAAAAGATCACAATTAAACATTCATACTCCTATTATTGAAACATACACAATAACTGTTGTAATAATCAAATTTTGATACAGTTAATACATATGAATCCCGAGACTTTTGATTTCGGAAATCATCCACATGGTAAGAGGTGGTAATCATCCACATGTAGTCTGCAGTATAAATATACATATCACAAAAACTGCTCATATACAGTGAATACAAGTATATGCCAGTTCTTAAAAAAAAAAAAAAAAAAAAAACAAAAACTTGCATACTGTGGCATAACACTAAAACTTATCAGCTAGCCAATATAAGGTGTTCGTTAGTGACCAATTGACCCTGCCAAGGGGAGAACCGGGAAGCACAAAGGGCAACAGGTCTCTCTATTGATATCTATACCCTATTATGAAATCGTAGACCAAAATGAATGCTAAAAAGAAATCCAAAACCAAACAACATTACTTATGAACAATAAACAACTTTGACATCAAAATGGGTATCAGGTTTGAACCTTACTGACCCTGTGCCTGGCACGCACTTGTTAGTTTTCTCACATGCCTGACTAGCTGCTGGTTTTTCTGTATCTGATTTCATGTGTACCAACCCTTTGGCTACTTTCTGAGCATGTTTCTGCCTGCTGGCTGGATCCACCCTTTTTTCCTTTTAGCTGATAACATATCTGCCTGCTGCCTGGACTGACCCTTTGCCTGTTTTATCAATTACACTTTTGCTTCCTGGATAAACCTTCTGAATATTTGGGCCTTGTTTCCACATTGGACTGAGTGTGTATAGAACAATCAAATGTACCATACAAAATTATCAAAATGATTAATTCCACATATCTTTAAACCATTTCATTTGCATACTATTCCTTATGCTCTTCTCCGGTGTTGGTTCATGACCAGAAAAATTTGAAGCTGCTAAGATCTTTACAATACTGGGTCCACTGAAAAGGGTATGGACCTGAAGGACCTTCCTAGATTCCAGCCACTCAAATACTTATTATCTAGTCAAAGCCTTCAATCACTTTGCCAAAGCAGCTCCTAAATTCAAGCCGCTCCTCCTCAAGATGAGATAGTTATATAAAGATTTGCCTTTTCCTACGGTATCCCTTTGGGCTCTGTAGCCCATGTTGGTTGGCCAGTCTCCTGGCACACTTTTGCAGACTTAAGTTCAATTGCCAAAGCAACATGGCCGTACTTCAGGCTGCCAGAAATTACAGAAAATATCTATATTATCTAATATGCACTGCTCTTTTTCTCTTCTGGTAATCAGTCATATACCGTTTGAACACATTTTGTTATATCTGTTTGATAAGTGCAAAAAAATGCCTGTTGATCACGTTGAAAGTTTAGAGCTATCTTGCGTTCAGTGCTCATGGTTTCAAGGCACATAACTAGCTCTTTCATTCCTTATCTTGGAACAAAATGATTGGCCTTTATGTAGCAGAGACTTTGAGAGTAGGTTTGACAGCAATCAGTCCACAAAATTGCTGTGCAAGTATTTTTTAATGTATTTGCAGGATGTTTAAAGGGATAAAACAGAAGGAAATGTGCATGTTTTAATGTTAGGTGCTAATCTAACACATGCATGTAAAATGTAGTGGTGCTTTTACTCGGTGCTGTGTTCTCTGTTTTCTCCCTGGACCGACGGGTGGGGGGGTGCAGGTGCATTTACACCCCAAAAAAAATGAAGCGACGTATCATGTCTTCACTTTGCCAAGAGCTGCTGCTCGCCTGCAAAATGTGGGAAAGTGGTTGGCAAGTAGATAAAAAAAAAATACCATATTTAGAATTTTAAAATAATAATTTTTTTTTTTTAATACATAATAGTACAATGTTACCAGGGATTTTTTTGTTTTTGTTTTTACAGTTTGCTTTGCAGAAGAAATAAAGATAATTTCTCCTGCAATGCAAAGCTTGCTGTCAGGGCCTGGACTTGAACCTGGGACTTCTACTGTGTCAGGCAGTAACTCTTCTCACTGAGCTACCTAGGATGCTGGACAACCCACTGCCTCTTCTATTGGATAATCCTGCCTTGTGCCTTGTTTGCTCTTGAACCTTGAACTCCTTGCTCCTCCCATGAACTTCCTATATAAGCCATGTCCTTGGACTTCCTCCTTGCCAGATTATTGTGCCTTTCCAGCCAATATCCCGCTACTGTTCCTGCTGCTGTCTACACCTCCGCTACTGATCTTTGGCTTGTTCCTGACCACGATTTCGTCTTATTCTAATGTACTACGATTGATCTGCTACCATTTGTGACCGACCCTTGGCTTGTGACCGACTCTGCTTTCGTCTGATCCCTAACCTGTTGATCCGCTATGGGTTCCCAGTCTGCTCATTCCCTGGTGGGGTGATCCTGAGATCTGCGACCTGGTATTAACACGCAGCCCAATCCATCTCCACCATTAGGAGCTCTAGTGAATACCGGTTAATACTTAGACCCCGCACCTCAGGTGAGCCTGCGTCATTCCCAGGGGGATCCGCTGGTGTACCTATCCTGCTGGTTCCAGGTAAGCCTTTTACTGCTATAGCAACTGGTCTCTGAACCTGACCTTACACCGTGACACTTGCTGTCAGAACCGAACTCATTCATGAACTGTCATGAATGAGTTAAGTTTTAACAGCTCAGTATAGTGATCTGTGATTGGCTGAAGCTGGTCACATGGTACAAGATGCTATGATTGGCCCCATGTATCATGTGACAGCTGTGGGCCAATCACAGTTCACTAGGAAGAGAAGCAGAGCTGTTATGAGTGACTGATTCATAACAGCTTTGCTTGCATAGCGATCACATGATCACCGGGCCCGTTCAGCAGGATCTTCATTCTGCTCTGTGTCTTTTGAACACAGCAGTCACCGGGGGGGGGGGGGGGGGGGGGGGAGCGCTCCCTTGTGTTAGTACAGCCAGAACAACATACGGGTACATCGCTTTGTCTGTAGCTGCTGCCCGGCCACGGTACATTGTGGGCAGGAAGTGGTTAAAACAAGTAAAAATTAAATACTGCCTGCCGTTTTGGAAACCCCCCCTTTTTTCGTTCTTCTAGTCTACACATCACATGGCCTAAAGTAAAGATCAAAATATTAATGCCCTCTTCACAATGTCATTCAATTGCAGCTCATTACTGCATACTGTACATGTAAATGTATATTGCATTAATATTTAATTAAAAATGGGCTGCCAGCGCACAGTGATACAAAAATAAGCGGACTTATTTCTTTATTTTATTGCTGTCACCTCTGCACTGAGTGTCTCTGAATTAGTGGTGTTATCCTATAAGGAGCCTTTTTTAAGCAAGCCATAGATCATACAAAAATCGCTTGATGGATCGACTTCAGTACAACCAGCCTGCCCATACATGGATCGAATCTCGGCCAGTCCCTGCTGAACCAGCAGAGATTCGATCCATCTATGGCCTACTTTAGTGTTGCACAAGGACAAAGCTGCCTTGAGGCTTAAGGCCACCATCCTACAGATGGTGATCTCTGCTTTTCAACTTAACCAGCACATTGTCCTGCCCTTCTTTATGTCCTGCTTCGAAACACCCTAAGGAAATTTCTCTCCACTGTCTGGATGTGGTGCACGTGAGAGTTTACCTTTCAGCTTCTGCCTCATTTAGCCAACAGGATTCCTTTTTTGTGCTCTCTGAAGGTTCCTGCATTCAGACATTCCTAGACCTCAGACACCTCTAATAAATTTACTTATCAGCATGAGCAAATTAATAAACAATAGGGTGAAACCTACTAAGCCTTATATACAACTAGATTATCACATACACCTAAGGACCCCATCTCACTTGTCCTGAAGGCCTGCAAATAGAATGGCATAAACACAATATAGAAGCAATAGCACCCAAAATTGTTAAAAGTTGATGACCAAGCACTTAAGGTTTGTTACCAGATTAGATACCAATATTTAAGATGACCTTGAATAAATTTAATTTGCCATCACAATTTAGCAGAGAACTGGAACTGTACAATTTGCACTTTTTCTGTGTCTTTTCTGGGTTTTGTGAGAACAATTATGCTTTCCCAAAGAATCTGGTAACAAACCTTAAGTACTTGGTCATCAACTTTTAACAATTTGTAGGTGCTATTGCTTCTATATTGTGTTTTATGCCATTCCATTTGCAGGCCTTCAGGACAAGTAAGATGGGGTCCTTAGGTGTATGTCATAATCTGGTTGTATATAAGGCTTAGTAGGTGTCACCCTATTGTTTATCAATTTGCTCATGCTGATAAGTAAGTTTTATTAGGAGGTGTCTGAGGTCGAGGAATGTGAACAGGGGGTTGACTAAAATAGGCGAGAAAGCAGCTAGGTAGAACAGTTTCTTTTGAGTTTAGGTTTATTTGAGGTTTTATACCTCCACAAGGCTTTATCAGTGTTTGACAGTTTATTTCTGTGAGATTTGCAGATCCATGAATCTTTGTCATTACTGCTTGTGGTATGTGTTAAGATTGTTTAAAGGCACCTGATTCAGTAGCAACAATAATGGATCCCTAGTTCAGTCCTCATACTGTTGTTGTTCTGTGTTGGTCATCTTTTGGACTTATTCTACAGTTACCCACAGAGTGCTTAATCTCCATAAACAGTCATTTGTGGAGACAGCAGCAGTATGAGTGAACCTAACAGTGGCATGAAAGAAATAGTTTGGGTCTCGAGGCGAAGATGCAGAAGATCCCTCCTGAATTATTTACTTACTGCCACCAAGGTGTGTGTCCTGTAAAAATGGAAAAGTAGGGAACCATCAACAATTGGTCAATGGATAGCAGTAGTAACAAGATCAACAACTGGGAATGCTTAATGGCAGCCATGAAACAGAAACACAAACAGTTCTGTAAAATGTGGTATTACTGACACGATTTCCAGTACTCACAGCAATACACTGCATATATGGCCATCCTGTTTCCACATGCCCCTTCTCAGTAGAGATCATGTTTGGCAAACTTATGTTCTCAGTGCTGTTTCTAGTCCTCTCAGTGTACTCACCCACCACTACCACCATTTATTTATTTTTTTTTCTTTTTTTGCCATTCCTTTTTTCTCCCTTCATCCACTTAAAGTGGTTTTAAAGGCTGAAGGTTTTTACCTTCATGCATTCTATGCATGAAGGTAAAAAACCTTCTGTGTGCAGCAGTGCCCCCAGCCCCCTCAATATTTACCTGAGCCTCATCTCAATCCAGCGATGTGAATGACAGCCTCAGCTGTCCCAAGTTTCTGCCTCCTCATTGGCTGAAACAGCAATTGGAAGCCATTGGCTCTCGCTGCTGTCAGTCACAGCCAGTGAGCCAATGAGGAGAGAGCGGGTCCTCACCCAGGGCCAAGCTGCGGCTCCGTGTGTAAATGGACAGCAGTTGCCCCCATAGCAAGCTGCTTACTGTGGGGGCACCCAACAAAAAGGAGGAGCCAAGGGAGCCACCTGAGAAGAGGCGGATCCAGGCTGCTCTGTGCAAAACCACTGCACACAGTAAATAAATATAGACATGTTTGTTATTTTACAGAAAAAAAAATAACCTTTTAGAATCGCGTTAACCACTTGCCCTCTGAAAGATTTTATCCCCTTCATGACCAGGCTATTTTTTGCTATTCGACACTGTGCTACCTTTAACTGACAGTTTTGCAGTCATGCAACACTGTATGCAAATTAAATTTATAGCATTTACACACAAATAGCTTTCTTTTGGTGGTATGTGACCACCACTGGGTTTTTTATTTTTAATTATACAGGCTGTCCCTAAAGTCTGGACACCTACTGTAGGCAAAATGCATACAGAGGGCAAAAAAAACCCCATATAATTAGCGATATTTCCTAAAGTGTCCAGACTTTGGGGACACCCTGTGTAAACTAAAAACACTGAAAGTTAAAAAAAAAAGCAACATTTTTTACTTTCTGCTATAAAACATATGCATTTAGGCCAAAATGTATTCTGCTACATGTCTTTGATTAAAAAAAATCCCAATAACTGTATATTATTTGGTTTGCACGCAAGTTATAGCGTCTACAAAACTATGGTGTATATATTATTTTTTATACTAGTTATGGTGGTGATCAGTGACTTATAATGGGGCTGTGATTGTGTGGTGGGCAATCTGACACTGGCTGATGCTGGCTGGAGGATACACTAACTGACTGACATCAAGAGTGATGCTAATACAGTGATCGATGCTAATGCTACACACTGTACTAGTGACACTGGCTGGGAAGGAGTTAACATCTAGAGGCGATCAAGGGGTTAACTGTGTGCCTAACAATGTGTGATATGTGCTGCTTTTACTAATTATCTTGTTTTTTCCTGTTTTGCAGGGAATAAAAAAAAAAAACAGCAAGATCACCTGTCGGTGTACAGAGCTCTGTGTTGTTTACCAAGATAGAGCTCAATTCTGTGAATCACGGAGCCGATCAGTAGGTCCCGGCAATCAATCATTGGCCAGGACCCACTGATCCGCTTGTGCTGTAACAAATCACAGCACAGCCAGGGCCTACCTGGAAGCGCTGATCACATACCAGATACGTGATCCAGCGCACAAAAGCCACCCTGCCGCAGTAAATGTATGTGGGGCAGTTAAACTGCTTTGTTTTTCTTTAGGGGCCTACAGTCACCCAAAAAACTAACATTTTTGGGGAAATTAGTCCTTTCAGCATAAGGATAGTATCCTAGGTGCTTCACTTGCATGTGGAAAAGTTTGAGGTGGCAAACCTGATCCTTACTGAGTACCTTTCCACTTTATTTGTATGGTATTACAGTGTCTTACTGTGTTAATTAGTTGTGATTTCTATACGTCATACCTTTTGGCCTCCATTGTCAAGTGATGTGATTTGCTCTGGAATTTGTTTTTCTTTTGTTCTTTGTATATTTTTTCTGTGGTTATCCAAACTATATGCTTTACTGAAAGAAGCAATAAAAGGTATTCATTTTAAAAAAAGAAGAAATCATTTAGATATGTATTCTATGCCATCAATACATGGAAGGAGATCCCTGGCTGAAAGTACGTAATGTTTTCTGGACAGAGCTCTATACTTTCTAAATTGGCACGGCTATTTGATTTGGTTGCAATATTTCCAGCACCATAAGAATAAGGAACATACCATTACACTAGTCCTATAGAAATAGAGGTTCAGAAGCGAAGGGACAGAGTATATCTAATAAAGAATCTGTCAGGTTGAAATTCCCTATGAAAGGGTACAGAGAAGGAGAAGAATTTTTGCTATCTTAGATGGAATAAATTGCCTTAGGTGTAGTCTGCCCTTGCAATTTACCAAGAATTCACGAGCAGATAAACGTTTTGAGGCATATAGCAATATAAAATATTTTTTGGACAAGTGTTTTAGAAGAATTCAAATTTTGCACAGATGTTCTATGTCTGGGTGTTAGTTGGGCGTTGTTACTGCTAAAAAATAAAAATCCAAAGAGGGCTGGATAGTGGGGAACTGATCCTGCAAATGTTTATCTACCAAATTCAGTGGTGCCAAGGATGCTTTCTTTTGAAACATGTTAGTGTGTCCGAGTGGAAAATTTCAGTGTTTTTTAGTCAGTGCTCTGACTATAGGTTACAAACTTTGTTTCTTTGTTTATTTTGCTTTGTTTATTCATTTGAATGGGTGCTTTTTCTATTTTTAAGGTTTTTAATCAGTTCCGATATCTACTAAACACATGTGATATCTCAATACACCTAGTAGAAGTGAGTCCTAAATTAAGTGAAATCCAAGCACTCAACTTAACAGAAAACAGCACTGAGGCAAAATATGAAGACAAATCACCATGTTATAAAATGGGAATAACAAAGACAGGTCTTCCAATTAACTGGTACTATAACATACAAGACGTACCCTCAGGTATCTTATATTCTGTTATTGTTTCAAAGCATTCATAGAATAAAATTGTCATTTCTGTTACTGTGCAGATCCAGGAAAGTAATGACACGCAAGTAAAACGACATGCTCACGTTTATATTGATAACATACACATTTTATTTTAAAAAAAATGTTTATATCAGTGTGTGTCTGCAGTCCTTTACAGAAGAATTAGAACCATTCATATCAGGCCCTATACCCAAAGAATCTTACAATAAAAATGTTTTTTGTAGTTGTACAACTGTTCGCAGTCAAATCCATTTAATCCTACTTGTAAATATTTCTAGCTGCAAAAGAAAATGGCCATCTACTATGTCTTCTTCTACTCACGTTTATAAAACTCCTGTGTTTGGTTTTAATAATAAGACTCTGTTCCTAGAGTAATCAAAAATGACACAATTGATCCTTTTAGCTGTAAGGTGGGAATTCTTCACAATGACCACAATTGTACTGGGGATTTTTTTTTCTGCTGATCATCACACTAATGTATCATAAGTTGTAGAAAGTTGTAAAGGTTGAGAAAGGCTGACATTATTATTATTATTATTATTATTATATACAGTATTTATAAAGCGCCAATAGTTCGCTCAGCGCTGTACATTATAAAGGGGGACAGAACATGTGACAGAACAATACCAATACAATGCAAAACATGAGGGGATCGAGGGCCCTGCTCTTTCAAGCTTACAATCTAGGAGGGAGGCATAAGTCCTTTAACTGATCTCTCAACTTTTATACATTTTCTAGCTACATCTAAATATAGAGAAAATTGCATATTTACAGGATTGATTTACCATAATTAGATTGACAGCCTATTTTATAGTCATTCTTTCTCTAAACGGATTTGATAAAATCTAAATATTTAGCAAAATATTAGTGCTCCTAATTATTTTTGTAGTATACACCTTTGTTTACAGCTATTTAAAGAGATCCTGTCACCAAGTTGTATTTTCCCAGTTAAATGTACCATTGCTTCCACACTGCCCCCTACATTGCCAGCCTCTTCTGTCGCAGCCCCCCAAACCGCTGTCCTGCCTGCTATGTCTCCCAGGCTCCACTTACCCATCTGCAGGCCTGGGACCTGTTCAAAGAGTGCCAGTGGGTAGAGGGGAGGGAGGAGAGTGGACTCTTGCTACTTCTTGTCCTGACCTGGAAGTGATATTATGATGTCACTTCCGGGTCCCAGTTGAAAGATTGCAATGTGCACTGCATTACATCCAGTGGAGTACAGTATCAATAAAGATAACCTGGCACCAAAAATCATCACATGATATATATGTCTCCTGACATATATAGAAGAAAAGAAAAAATTGCCATCCTAATCGAATATAATTATATATCCTTGTGGTATCTCCGTCTCACTTCTGATTAAAGTGTGGATCATAAACTCAGCAATACTTAGAGAAACAAAAATGGCGGTTGACTAGTGCAAACCTGCCTAAAAGATGGTTTGTATTAAATCCTATGCGGAGTAATATATCACTACATTGGTGAATGCAATATTGTATTTATTTGATGACATGGATCGTAGAAAAGGTAGACATTGACATGGTGAACATAGTACAATCATATTTAAAGTCAAAGAATTAAAATTAAGAACCGTTCGGCGTCTTCAAAAAATAGCTGTATGGGCAAAATTGGTCAATATGAGGCTGTGGAGATTCTTCTGCATTCAACGAATTAAATTTCCATACTTAATGACCTAATCAATTCGTATTCCTCCTTAAATGTTCCTTGTAGTGAACATCAAAGTTTATATAATGTGGTTCCTAAGAATAAATAGTAGATAATCATGAATTCAGGAGAATCAAAAAGCTTGTCATCATCATTTCAGCCTAGTAGGATGCACATATAAGAGTCCTATTTAATCATTGAATTTTCATCTCATTACCTTCTGTGTGAATATACCACATCTTGTGAATAGTGGGTATAGATATCCTTGTATGACCAAGAACGGTGAAAAATTATCCAAAAAATTAGATTTGTAATGGTGAGGTTTCTAGAATGAATAGAGAAATTCAGTGAAATAATATAAAGTGATACAGAAGTGTAGCTCATACACGTATTAATATATGTGAATTTACCATAATGGAAACCTGGTCTATTTCCACTGGTGAGGTGAAAAACATTCATATAGGTAATGATGATGGAGTTCCAAAAATATAGTAGTATGGAAGTCTCTGTGAATTACATTCAAACATTCATGTTTCCTTAAGATGTGCCCCTCTAGGGGTTCCAAAAATTTCTCTTATGCAAGAGCTGATGCGGTTCCTATGGGGATGCGTGAGACATATATCCCATATCAAAACATAGTATAGCCAATGGTATTAAATATACCTATTGAATCCAAAAATTCCCCTCACAAAAGAGCTCAAATAACCCTATTGTGGCATAGGTTGTATAGTTCGTATCAAAAAAATTGCAGTTGGTAATGACTCCGCTTAATATAATGGTACTTGCCACCGGTGGAAGTGAACAGAGTCACTTAAAATCGCCTATGAAGCTCCTTAGAGTGATTGCCATGTGGTTTTCCGTTTTGCCTCATGCTTATCCGAGATGGAGCTGCATCGCTTGCTCCTTTCCCCTCGTGGATACCACAGCATATGAAGACGCCAATCCAAAGTGTATGTGAACTCAAATGAAAAAAAAAATGTGCTCCCTCTGTCCTATTATGACAACCTTACTGAGCAGTGTTGCCACCCTATATATAAGCATATACAGTATTGTGCAGGTGTGAAGAAATGCTGTAAAGTAAGACTGCTTTTAAAAATCTATAATTTAAATATTTTTTTTCTCAAAAACATCTTCCAGGACAGCCCCCTTGAGACCTAGAGCTCCTCTCTCCAGGATAGGAAACACGAAAGCACAGCCCTTTAAAAGGCGGACCTCCAGGTCTCCCCCTTCAGTTTTTAGTGTTTCTTGCCGGAAGGATAGGTACACATTCGAAGGAAACTTTTATGGGAGCTGTAGGCTCAGTGGGGCAGCCCGGAGTGGTGCTGGTGGCTCCAATTTTTTACACTACCTCCTCTTCCCTGGTGCGATCCCTCTATGACAGTGTGGAGTGGTCCTCAGAGGAGGAGACCCCTGGTGATTGTTGCCCTGTATAGCGACTCCTGGGACAGCTTCGGGCTTTTGCAGCCCTCCTCCCTTCCCTGGCATGGGAAATCCTTTCCCAGGTTTTTTCATGGCTACGCTGGATCTGAGGGATGCCTATCTCCGCATTCCCATTCAATAGGCGTATCAGAAATACCTAAGAAATGGCAGTAAGTATGGGCTCAGAGATCCACCATTGGCAGTGTCAGGCACTACAATTTTAGTCTGGCCTTAGCACCAAGAATGTTTACAAAGGTGCTTGCGGAGGCCTTAGCTCCCTTAAGAATGAGGTCTATTACAATCGTTCCCTATCTGGACTGTCTCCTCTTCGTGGCCAGGTTTCGCCAACAGTTGACAGAAGATCTGCAGCTTGCTCAGGACTTCCTTCAGAGTCTGTGGTGGCTCATAAACAGGGACAAGTCATCCTTGACTCCTTCCCAGAGAGTTACCTATCTGGGGTACGAGATTTCTTTGGTAGAGAGAAAGATCTTCCTTCCACGAGAAAAGTTTCTCAGGATAGATCAGGTGCTGGCGGAGCTGCAGAGCAATTCATCCACGACAATAAGACATGTAATGAGGGCAGTAGGTCCCATGACCTCTTGTTTCCCAGCTGTACCCTGGGTGAGATTCCACCAGCGGCCACTGCAGGCTTTTCTTCTGGGGGTTTGGAATGGAGATAGATCTACTTTGGATCTGGCAGTCCGGATCCCGACCAGGGTCAAGAGATCCATTTGGTGGTGGCGCAAATAAGACAATATAGCCATAGCTCTAGAGTGGAACACGCCTTGTCCGGTTATAATTACGACCAATGCCAGAAGCTCTGGTTGGGGAGCCCATCTAGGCGGGTCGTGGTCCATGGTGGAAGCTCAGAGATCCTTAAATCAGAGGTTTTAGCAGTCCAGCGAGCGTTGGACGCCTTCCAGGCAGATCTATTAGGTCATCACCTGCAGATCCGTTCAGACAGTATGGCTACGGTGGCATATTTCAACAAGCGGGGGTACACAAAGCCCTTCTCTTCAAGCAATCACTGATGGCATTCATTCTTGGGCTGAGCAAAACTTGCTTTCAATATCTGCCATCTATCTCAAGGGAGCGCAGAATTCCCTAGCAGACCTTCTAAATTGACATCCAGTCAAACACGTCAAATGGTCTCTCAACCAAGAAGTGCTTGCGAACATCACTCTCAGGTGGGGCATGCTGGAGGTCGATCTCTTTGCCTCCCAGGAAAACAGGCAAGTCAGCCCATTCTTCTCCCTAAATCCACGAGATCAGGCTCTGGGTGTGGATGCTTTCACGAGCATGTGGAAGTTCAATCTCTGTTATGCGTTTCCTCCAGTGAGGTTGATCCCAGCAGTCCTGCAAAAGCTCCTGTTAGAAAGGACAAACCTCATTCTAGTAGCGCCGTTTTGGCCGAAAAAGGCATGGTTTTCTCTGCTGTGGAGTCTGACCTCGGTTCCCCCTTCCAGAGAGGGGGGATCTGGCATCCCAGGGTCCAGTGCTACAACCTCAGGTCAGAACCTTGAGGTTGGCAGCGTGGCTACTGAAGAACAACTCGTAAAAGCTCAGGTGTTTTCTGACAGAGTAATTAGGACTTTAGTGAACTGCCGCAAACCGGTTACCAGAGCTATTTATACTAAGGCCTGGAAGAGATTCAACTCCTAGATGCTAGAGAAGGGTCGAGCCCTCCAGACATCCTGGCGGTGTTGCATTTCTTACAGGATGGGGCGATCAGGGCCTTTCGGTTAACACTTTAAAGGTACAGGCCTCGGCCCTCAGTGTTTTCCTTCAGGTCCCCCTCCAGCAAGATCCCTTTATAACAGATGTTTTTCATGGCTTTTTCCAAATCCAGGCCGGTGGCGGTCAGGTCTTGTCCAGTTTGGGATCTGTCTCTGAGCTTTGGACCTTTGGAGAAATCTTCAATTATGTTTTTAACTCTAAAGACTTTTTTGGTAGCAATCACATCGGCCTGTAGGGTGAGTGAATTGCAGACACTTTCTATTAGGGAGCCCTTTTTGACAGTCTTCGAGGATAGAATTGTGCTCAAAACAGATCCTGGGTTTCTTCCCAAGGTTTTCTCCACCTTTCATAGATCTCCGGATATAATTTTGCTGACCTTCTGTTCTTCTTGCGCAAGCAAGGAGGAAGAAAGATTACGTTTATTGGATGTTAGAATAAGTCTTTTGGTTTATCTTTAGGAGATCCAGAGAATTCATAAATTCGGATTCTCTTTTTTTCCTTTTTGCGGGACCACAGAAGGGTTCCAAGTCTACCATAGCTAGATGGATTAAGATGGCTATCACAGAATCATAATTTATTAAAGTTCTTCCCCCGTTTGTTAATGCACACTCTACTAGATCCTTTTCAGTGTCCTGGGCAGAGAGAACCGGTGCCTCGTCAGAACAGATCTGTAAGACGGCCAACTGGTCCAGCCCTTCTACCTTTTGTGAAACATTATCGCCTGGATCTTCTTTCTAGCGAGAATCAGGCATTTGGGCGCAAAGTCCTTCAGGCAGTAGCCCCGCTGTAATGGGTAGGTTCTTGATTATCGTCTCAAGGGGGCTGTCCTGGAAGACTTTTTGAGAAAACCAGTTAGACTTACAAGTAACTCCTTTTCTATGAGTCTTCCAGGACAGCTGGGATTTCTAACCATAAGATTGTATGGTAATGTATGTTTATGCATAAATGGTTATGTCTTCCAGGGTCTTCCGGAGGTTCTTGAGTAAAACTGAAGTGGGAGGTCTGCCTTTTAAAGGGCTGTGCTTTTTTATTTCCTGTCCCGGAGGGAGGAGCGCTACATCTCAGGGGGGCTGTCCTGGAAGACTCATAGAAAGGAGTTACTGGTAAGTCTAACTCATTTTTTTTTTAGCAATTTACAAAATGCAAAGTGAACGAACAGAAGAAAAATCTAAATCAAATCAATAATTTAGTGTAACTACCTTTTTGTATTCAAATCAGCATCAATTCTTCTAGGTATACCCAGTGCTTTTGCACACAGTTTTTGAGGGAACTCGGCAGGTTGGTTGTTGCAAACATCTTGGAGAACAAAACCACAGATCTTCTTTGGATGTAGGCTGCCTCATATCCTTCTGTCTCTTCATGTAATCTCAGACAGACTCAGTGGTGTTTGAGATCTGGGCTTTGTGGGGGCCAAACCATCACTTCCAGGACTCCTTTACATTGAAGATAGTTCTTAATAACATTGGCTGTAAGTTTGGGGTCGTGCTCCAGCTGCAGAATACATTTTGGGACCAATCACACGCCTTCCTGATGGTATGGCATGATGGATCAACATCATTGAGTCTGTCTGGGATTACATGAAGAGACAGAAGGATCTGCGGTTAGTTCTGCCGAGTTACTTCAAAAACTGTGTGCACAAGCACTTTGTCTACCTAGAAAAAGTGATGCTGGTTTGATGGCAAAGGGTGGTCACACCAAATATTGATTTGGTTTCTTCTTGTGTTCATTTACTTTCCAATTTTGTTATTTGATAAAACTAAACTATTAACACTTCTATTTCTGAAAGCACTCCTAATTTACAGCATTTTTTTTCCAAACCTGCCTAAAACATTTGCACAGTACTAAAATATACACACACTATATTGCGAAAAGTATAGGGACACCCCTCCAAATCATTGGATTCAGGTGTTCGTCACCTCCATGGCCACAAGTGTATAAAATCAAGCACCTAGGCATGCTGACTGCTTCTACAAACATTTGTGAAAGAATGGGTTGCTCTTAGGAGCTCCGTGAATTCAACCGTGGTACCGTGATAGGTTACCACCTGTGCAATAAGTCCACCCGTGAAATTTCCTTGCTACTAAATATTCCACAGTCAATTGTTAGTGGTATTATAGTATTATAACAAAGTGAAAGCAACTGGGAACAACAGCAACTCAGTCACGAAGTGGTAGGCCACATCAAATGACAGAGCAGGGTCCATGCATGCTGAAGCACACAGTGTGCAGAAGTCGCCAACTGTCTGCAGAGTCAATAGCTAAAGACCTACAAACTTCATGTGGCCTTCAGATTAGCACAACAACAGTGTGTAGAGAGCTTCATGGAATGGGTTTCCATGGCTGAGTAGCTGCATCCAAGCCTTACATCACCAAGTGCAATTCAAAGCATCAGATGCAGTGGTGTAAAGCACACCACCACTGGATTCTAGATTCTGTCTGGCAATATGATGGATGTGTCTGGGTTTGGCGATTGCCAGGAGAACGGTACTTGCCTGACTGCATTGTGCCAAGTGTAAAGTTTGGTGGAGGGGAGATTATGGCGTGGGGTTGTTTTTCAGGGGTTGGGCATGGCCCCTTAGTCCCAGTAAAGGGAACTCTTAAGGTGTCAGAATACCAAGACATTTTGGGCAATTTCATGATTCCAACTTTGTGGGACCAGTTTTGGGATTGCCCCACATTGTTCCAACATGACTATGCACCAGTGCACAAAGCAAAGTCCATGAGCGAGTTTGGGGATGGTAGAACTTGATTGGCCTGCTCATTTTCCAGACTTCAGCCCGATAGAACACCCTTTGGGATATACATTTCTTATTGTTGCCATGTCATACCACCAAGAAAAAAAAACCAAAACAAATTCTCCTACCTCTCACATTCGCAGAGATGTCACATGTATGCATTATCACAATCTAAACTGACTCTAAATTAAAAAAAATATATTTTTTTGAAACCTACCTAAACACATTAAGACTGACCTTTTACCCTGCCATGACCTTGACCCTGATGTAGATCAAGGCTTGATCTAGCCATTTTATCTTTTTTTTTTTTTTTTTGTTACACAGGCTTTTTATCACAAAATGAAGCTTTAAATTTGTGCTGAAAAAACAAGTATAATTCATCTGGATACACTAAGTAGTTGCGACGATATGTACAGTTTCGCTAGCACATGCCAAACTTGCAAAACTAGGTTCAGGCGGTAAGATTTGCTCTACTTTCATGCAGTAAAGGGTTAGAAGGAGCCCAGTTCTCCATTTTCCAGCTGGCTGAGATTTAAAAATATTACTCAATTTTTCATTTGTATCGGTTTTAAAAATGTTATCTTCTAAAACAGTGAAAAAAATAACGAACTCACTACACACTAACTTTAAAATTGAATGGTTGACATGCCTTACATGTAATTTTATAAATTTTGTAACATAATTTTATTATATCTATGTTCTTTTCTCTTTAGGTTACACATTTTACATAGCACATGAATTTTTTGATGCTTTGCCTATACACAAAGTACAGGTACCATTTTTATTTTTTTTTTATATTAAAAAAAAAAAGTCCTTGTGTACACAGCACATACAAATTTTACTGCATTTTGACATTTCTACTACATTGCAGAGTAAATGTGTCCTGCAGAACCAGGGCCTAAATACAAAACTTTATTTTATTATGACCTACTGTACACACAAATTCCTTACACACAAAATATAATAAACTTTTGAGCATGGATATTTTTTTATGTTTTTTTTTTTTAGCCATTATTATGTTGCTTCCAACATTGCTATAATAAGCACCCAAGCATTCATGCATCAGTATTAGAGCTCTCCCATCTCCGTACATCCAATACTACAATACTATTCGGATAACCACAGCTATGAGATGGTAGTCAAACAATTGCAGATAGAACAACAATTGTGACATAAACATGCAAGCCCCTACTAGCTAAGCATGCATGCTGATGAATAGATGCTTCTTGCGCTAGCTGTATCTTAAAGGGGCAGTAGAGAACAATTTAGAATAATCCACATTGGTCAACTGATTCTTTCACTGATGCAGTTGACTCAGCAGAGTTTGCAAAAGATGGTGAAAGCCCGCAACACACATACTATTTTGGGCAGACCATAAAACTGCACAAAGGCCCTCTAGGGCCTATGGGCCATTTAACATGAGATGTTGGGCAGACAGGTGCTGAGAATATAGCCTTACTCCTCACTTTGACTTACGTACTTCTTACTTCTTGGGCAAGTGAGGTACATGAGGCATTTTCAAAGATTCCAAAACCATTTTTCCAGTATATAATTATGTGATGTCAGGCAAGGAGTACTTCTTTAATTTCCTGCCAGACCAGCACATGACATGCGGAATGCTTCGACAATTTAATTATCATGTCTTTCAGCTGTAAGCTGAAGCTGTATGAGCCAAGCTGCACATCATGGACTTTGGGGTGGTGAACCACATTGCAAAGGTTGCTCTTCATCTCCATCTATCTGCATATTGATACACATGAGTATGTGGTTGTACCTAAGTATTAAAAGAATCGAAGGACCTAAATTTGTTCTTGAGCAGAGGTCCTTTGCAAGGTATGTCCACCACTGGTGATAGTTCAAATACACACAATTCCCATTTGATTTGTTATCGGATGTCTCATATTTATAGTACCGAGACATGTATTGTGGTCTCATGGAGCAACAATCCCTTTCTCTTTTTGATCAACAATATTTGTAGGGAAATGTTTTGGTAAACCAGCAAGTAGCAGTCCTGACAGCCGGCAAACAAGTAAGTATTCACTTAGTAGAAGTACTGCTCCCATACATCTGTTGAACATACAATCAAAATTAAATCATGCACCATTTTTCTTTTGCACACATACTGTATAATGTACACATCAGACTGCAGATCACAAATTCTCATGAAAGTATTAGGATAAAGTGTTAATCACAAACATTTGTTTTAATGTACATGTCAACAACCTGTTGTTTTTTTATATTTTACGCAATAGTAAATACTAAACATATTTTTTAAACAATTTCATCTTTACAGAAAATCCAAGATGAATGGAGAGAAATATTGATTGATGTTGATCAAGAGATTCCACAAAAAATTAAGATTTGTTCTTGGTTCTAGCCGTTCTCTTATTGCAAAAACCTTTGTTCAGGTATTTTTTTTTTTTTTTTTTTAGCTTTTTGAAAAATATACTCTTTTGGGGGATCTTAAAGTATAACTAAACCCAAAGACAAAAATGCAATACATTGCAGCTTACTTGTCCTTTGATGTGGTGGCTGCGTATGTGAGAATGTTGAGGGCCTGCCCACATCTTAGGTGCTGAAAATCGCAAAGGAGAGCACCATCTGCAAGGGGAGGAGAAATAAGAAATATTTCTTCCTTTTCCTTACCCCCTAATCTAACTAGCTGCTAAGCTGGGGGGGGGGGCGCGCACAACTAAATAGTACATTTTCAATGCTGACTGGAGATTGGTTTTGAAGCTAATTTGTAATAGGGACGAAAATATAAAGCTACAATAACAGTTGGATTCTAGGCACTATAAATTTCCAGGATGTTTCCTGCTTGCTTCAATAAGTATCCTGGCAGTGCTGCTGTGGGCCCCAAAATATTCTGTATACTGTACTGTAGTATAGGGAAAGTAACAATATTTTCCCTATCCCACAATATATTGCTGGAGTTGCTAAGCTTGTGCAAATACTGTTATTAGTTTCCATACAAACTTGGACTTCTTAAAGTGGAGTTCCACCCTAAAATAGCAGCTCTGCTTGTCTGCCTCCCCCCCCCCCCCCATTGCCATAGTGGAGAGTGGATACTTGGTTTTGACAGGTACCCGCTCCCACTTCCGGCTCAGTTCACCGTGGCTAAGTGAGCCAGAATTTCAGCCCCCCTCCTTCCTCCCGCAGTCTCCTGGGAACCTTCACATGTCCCAGAGGACTGCCGGACCAATCAGGATGCGCAACATGACTCGCGCATGCGCAGTGGACACCCGGCTGTGAAGCCGCAAGCTGTCGCAGCCTGGTGCTCACAGTTGAGATGCTGGGGAGAGAAGGGAAGTTGCGGGTGAGCACGTCGCTGGACTCTGAGACAGGTGAGTTTATTAACCACTTGTTTACAGGGCACTTTCACTCCCTTCCTGCCCAGGCCAATTTTCAGCTTTCAGAACTGTCGCACTTTGAATGACAATTGACCAGCCATTTGATGGTTTGACAGTTTGGTTATGAGCACAAGCAATTGTGGTGTTTAGGCTGCTTTCAGCAAACGCAGTACAAATGCATAAAAAGAGCATATGTGTTTTTTTTCCGCGGATCAGTGTGAAAGTAGCCTTAGCCTTCCCGGAATGTAACTGTCTTTTGGAACCGTAAAATTGACTGTAATACTAATGAAAGATCCCACTTTGTGAAGTTTAGTCTTCTTGGCAGTCTTAACACTTCAGTACTGGGCACTTTCACCCCTTTCCTTCCCAGGCCAGTTTTCAGCTTTCAGTGCTGTCGCACTTTGAATGGCAATTGCACAGTCATGCAACACTGTATCCAAACAAAAGTTTTATAATTTTGGAGACAGAGCTTTCTTTTGGTGGTATTTAATCACCACTGGGTTGTTTTTTGTTTTTTTTTTCTAAACAAACAAAAAACTGAAAATTTTGAAACAAGGTTTTTTTCTTAGTTTCAGTTCTAAAATTTTGTAAATGAGTAATTTTTATCCTTCACTAATGAGGCTGCAGTGATGGGCACTGATGAGGAGGCACTGATTGGTATTGACAGGCATCACTGATGGGCACTGAAAGGCAGTACTGACTGGCATTGATAGGCAGCACTGACTGGCAGCATTCATAGGCAGCACTGACTGGCACTGATATGTGGCATTGATGGACACTGACAGGTGGCACTGATGGGACTACACTGATCATCAGTACCCTGATGATCAGTTTAGATGTCCCTGCTGAGGAATGCTGATTACTGGCTCTCCTCTCACGAGCGGTAAGCATGACTGCTCGTGAGGAGAGAAATGCCGATAACCGGCACTTCCTTATTTACATGCGGTCAGCTGTGATTGGACACGGCTGATCACATGACAGAGCCAAAGTGATCGGCTCTTTCCGCTGATCGGTGATCCGGGACACAGTGCACCACCGATCTCCGCGCTGCGTGCCCCCGGGGGCGCGCACACGTGGTTAGAGTGAGGGGACATCATATGAAATCCTCCCAGAATGACGGAACCACCGCCCGTCATTTTCTTATATGGCGGGAGGAGGTTTTTATAGCTGCTGACTTTTAATAAACTCAAAAATGCCTGGAACTCCACCTTTTAAGGCTTTTTGTGTTCAATAGGGTGCAGCCTGACGCCTTATAGTGTGGCCATTACTATAGTTTAATACTCTTGTCTTCTCTAGAGGTGTATTATATATACAGTTGTGTTCAAAATAATAGCAGTGTGTTGAAAAAAGTGAATAAAGCTCAAAATCCTTCTAATAGCTTTCATTTCCATACACACAAATGCATTGGGAACACTACACATTCTATTCCAAATCAAAACATGAAGAAAAATATATCAAATTTGTGTTGTTCCTCTAAAAAAATTGAAGAAAAGTGAATATTAGACTGTTTAAAAAAAATAGCAGTGTTTGTATTCTTTACAAACTCAAACATTCACTATATAAACTTAAAAATGTTTGAAGATTTTGCTTTCCTTTTGAATCAATATTTAGTTGTATAAGCACTGTTTCTGAGAACTGCTGTACATCTGTGTTGCATGGAGTCAACCAACTTCTGGCACCTGTGAACGGGTATTCCAGCCCAGGATGATTGGACTACATTCCACAGTTCTTCTCTATTTCTTGGTTTTGCCTCAGAAACTGCATTTTTGATGTCACCCCACAAGTTTTCTATTGGATTAAGATCCGGGGATTGGGCTGGCCACTCCATAACGTCAATCTTGTTGGTCTGGAACCAAGATGTTGCACGTTTACTGGTGTGTTTGGGGTCGTTGTCTTGTTGGAACACCCATTTCAAGAGCATTTTCCCTTCAGCATGACCTCTTAAAGTATTCTGATGTATTCAAACTGATCCATGATCCCTGGTATGCGATAAATAGGCCCAACACCGTAGTATGAGAAACATCCCCAAATCATGATTCTTGCGCAACCATGCTTCACTGTCTTCACAGTGTACTGTGGCTTGAATTCGGTGTTTGGGGGTCGTCTGACAAACTGTCTCCGGCCATTAGACCCAAAAAGAACAATCTTAGTTTCATCAGTCCACAAAATGTTGCACCATTTCTCTTTAGGCCAGTCAATGTGCTCTTTGGCAAATTGTAACCTCTTCAGCACGTCTTTTTTTCAACAGTGGGACTTTGCGGGGGCTTCTTGCAGATAGCTTGGCTTCACATAGGCGTCTTCTAATTGTAACAGTACTCACAGGTAACTTTAGACCTTCTTTGATCTTCCTGGAGCAGATTGTTGGCTGAGTCCTTGCCATTTTGGCTATATTCTTCTATCCATTTGAATGGTAGTTTTTCACTTTCTTCCACGTCTTTCAGGTTTTGGTTGCCATTTTAAAGCATTTGCGATCATTTTAGATGAGCAGCCTATCATTTTCTGCACTTCTTTAGAGGTTTTCCCCTCTCCAATCAACGTTTTAATCAAGGTACGCTGTTCTTCTGAACAATGTCTGGAACAACCCATTTTCCTCAGAATTTCAGAGAGAAATGCACTGTAACCAGCATGTACAGCATTTGCTGCCTTCCTTCCTTAAATAAGGGCAATAATTGCCACCTGTTTTTCAAAGAATGAATGACCTCACTAATAGAACTCCACACTGCTATTATTTTGAACATGCCCCTTTCAATTAGTGATTCAATTACACAGAATCGGCAGCATGCGTGTCATGACTGTTGGGTCAGTTGAATTTCTATTACTCTACTACACCTGCTAGTAAATTATTTGCCATGTAGAAATATCATTTCTACCAAAAACAGTGACTGATCAGGTTAGTGATGCCTCACTTCTATTATTTTGAACACAACTGTAGGTCTGTTTGAATGTATATATGTATGTGTATATGTGTGTGTGTGTGTGTGTGTATATATATATATATATATATATATATATATATATATATATATATATATACACACACACACACATATATTACATTGTACAGTTTAATTTCAAATAAACTGAAAGGAAAAAACTTAAACCTTCACATTTGAGTTGTGCATGGTTGTATGCAATATAAACGTTTGGTTTCCATCTATTGGGAACTCTGATGCTGGGATAGCCCCAGCTATAATTGTTGTGGCCAATTCGCAACAAGATAATGGCTATACACTGTGGTTTATATTTTGTAAAGCATTGAAGTTTACTGTCTTCCTGATACATGGGTTTTCAATTTCAGTGATTGATTTACCTGCAATGAATGTTTAGTGAATGTCACATTTACTGCTTTATAAATATACTCCTTTTGGCTGATAGCTTCTCCATAATTTTTACAACTAAAAAAAAGGGGGGGGGGGAATGCAAAAGGGATGCTTTCATTACATCCTAGTATGGAGAAAGGTTATGGAAAGGCAACATACTACTGCTGTAGAAAAGTACTGTAATGTGTGACACTGGCAATTAAACAGAGCCAAACTTTACACATTTTTTATGTTTATTTTTTAAATATAGATAAAAATGTGTGCCAGTCACAGTTTATCACATTGCTAATACCTACCATATGCAGTATTTATCCTCACCTTGAACCGCATAACAATTGTAAATGTGTCTTCACACACAGTACCCAAGGAGTGCATTCTCCAGCTCTCCCTTTCTTAGCCAAGAACTTAGAGTACATGGTGTCTACCTGTGTCGGAAAAATTGTTTTCCTTTTTATAAATGCCTGAGGAACTAGAGAGGTGTGGCCACATGTTGAATCTTTAGGTATGGGTAAAGTCAATCATTTTGGCGGGCTTGACGTGCAGGCATAGTGGTAAAAGCAGGGGTGGGGACCTGTGGATCATGGGTGGCATGCAGGTACAGTGATGGGAGGAGAGATGGAATATGGGGATCAAGTGTAATGGTAAGAGTGGGATTGTGGGTCAGGCAGTGAGAACAGATTGGAGGGTGGTCATGTAGGTGGGGTGTTGAGAGCAGCGAATTGGGGGGAGGAGCATGCAGGTGTAGTGCTGAAAATTGGGTAAAAGCCATGCAGATACAAGGAGGGAGGAATGTGCCAGTAGCAGGGTGGATTTGATTTAAATCACTAGTAAGTAAGGCTTGATTTAAATCATAGTTTTCTACATAAAGACTAATTCTTGCTGGTATAACTTTAATATGCAAGTAGATGAAGATTTTTAGAATAACAACTTTTCATATTAGTTTTTTTATCCCCAGTTTAATAGGTTAATCATTCATATTTGGACAACTTTTCTGTTGTACTTAGGAAGGAGAAAAATAATCATTACCTTTAATAATAACAATTTAAATAGATTTATTCAACTGAAACAATAACATTACAGCATATGTTATTTGCTTAAACAAACATCCATGTTTGTTAACTAATTTGGCTAAACAAAATATCTATATTTTAAGAAATTTAGACTGTCAGCCCCTTCCTCCTCAGACTTCGTTTCACTTTCTTCTTGTGCAGATCTATTCCACTCCAAACAATCAGAAAAATATTGTTTCTATTCTATTCACTGAACTTCTTGAAACTTAACACTGAAGGGGTTGATTCTGTATTCATAGGTTTGTAGAAGTTAGGATTAAGGTCTTTTTCTTAACTCTGTTCATGCTATAACATTTTTGCATTGAAGAAGAGGCATGTGATCTCCGCTGAGTCAAATTCAGTTTTGAGAAGTGCAAAAGTAAACCAAGCATCTGTGATAATATCTTGTAGGCAGAGAAACTGCCCAATAATCTTACAAAAACCTCTGGAAGAGCATGACATTGTGAATGGATTAATGGAATTTATTTACCAAAAAAATTAAACATATACAGCCTTATTCTACATAATTAAAAAAAAACAAATCTTTATTTCATGATGGAATAACTTTTGGATGGTAATATATTTTCCTCAAAAAGCATTTTATTTTAATAAAATCTGATTTAAATAAAAAAAATCTGATTTTTTTGATTTTTATTTTTTAAAAATCATTGATTTTTATCCACCCTGGCCAGTAATAAGACCGGGGGGGGGGGGGGGGGTTGGTAATGGAGGTCAGGTGGACAGTGGTTGCACAAGTACAGCATCTCTTAAGATGGTAGCAGGTGGGCATGTAGATTTGTGGGGGGGAGGCAGGACAGTTGTGCATGTGTAGTGGTGAATGAGGAGGAGAGGGAGAATGGGGGGCAGTCGTGCAGGTGCCGCAGCAAAAGCAGCTAGGAGATGGACGTGAAGGGGGGGGGGGGGGGGGGGGGGAGTCATGCACATTCAGAGGGTGAGCACAGGGTGGGGATGGTCATGCAGGTATGGTTGAAAGTGGGGTGGGGTATGATTGTGAAAATACTGTGGTGTGGGCTGGGGGGGGTGGGCTGGGGGTAAAAGGTACATGCCATGCTCACTACACAATGCTTCTCATTCATTCCCAGAAACAGAGAGCAGTGCTTGGCTGGAGTTCCTGGCCTCTTTTGCCCTGCATCAATACGGTCTGCTTCCAACAGATCTATCACAATAGTATCGTTCCTGGGCTCTGAGCTTCCTGACTGCTCGAGGAGTGTCTCTGGCTTTATGTTTTATTTTTATTCTTTATAACACTATTCTTTAGTGGTATGTTGTTGAAAAATACAAGCCACACTGTCCTATGGCTGCAGTAGCAGATACAAACAAGTATAGCAAGTAGCTGGGGTATACATGTTTGTTTGTTTTTTTCATTCAACTAGCAGGTTGGGGGAAAAAAAAAAAAAAGACAGATCCGTGCATCAACAGGATAATGTGTGATGTGGGAATCTCTCCTGCTGTGCTATTCCGCCCCATCAGAATACACTGATTAGTGCTTGTAGCCATTGGGTGCATAAGCTGATCAAATGCTGATTTTCCAGCAAGACCTTTTGATAGAGGCTGTTCATTAGACCAGCTTTTGTTAAATGGAGCAGTGCATGTTTCGAAAGTCAACTGGTTCCTGTTGAACCAGCCAACTTTTGGTACATGTGTACTGGGCTTGACATTTAATAAAAATGCATAAGTTCAGCATGTGCTAAGCCCTGCACTTTTGCAAATATAAACCATTATCAGAGTTCTGTTATAGCTGGTGAGACAGACACAACATCACACATTAGGCTCTAACAGTTCCACCTCTGCATTCTTCCCAAAAACACTATTGGCTTTTCTCTTCCCTCCACCCCTAAGCAATGCTATGTACTCTTTCATCTGGTCTATGATGTGCTCCCATTCTTCTGCTCCTCTTTTTCCTCCTCAACACAATCTTTCCCTAGGTCCTTCAATCATGCTAATTTTCCCAATAAGCAGATTACACTCAGTCTCATGCCCAGATCACTGAGCTTCTCCTTTCTGCTCTATCACCTCTTCTACTTTCTCCTGTATGCCATCAGCTCCTTTCTGTTACCTCCATTCATGCCTTTATGTGCCTGTTCTCTCAACCGCTCGATTGCTATGGTTTGATTAATTCAGAATCTGCTTTTCCTTTTTTTCACCACCTCCAATCAGCTCTGACCCTTTCCCAACATTTTGTGGTCAGCTTTAACTCCTCTCTACCATACATCCCTTGCTAAGGTCATCTTATACATTCACCAGCCCCTTTTATTAGGTACACCTTGCTGGTGCCAAGAAAATCTCAGACCACTGCGTCACCACCATGCTGCCTGAACCGCAGGATGGATCCATACTTTCATGCTTATGTCAAATTCTGACCTTACCATCTGAATGTCACAGCTGAAATCAAAATCCCATTCTCCTCTGAACTCTGATATTAACAAGGCATTTTCATCAACACAACTGCCGCTGACCGAATATTTTCTCTTTTTGGGACCATTCTCTTTAAACCCTAAAAATGGTTGTGTGTGAAAATCCCAGTAGATTAGCAGTTTTTGAAATACTCAGTCCAGCCAGTCTGGCAGCCACAACCTTGCCACGTTCAAAGTCACTTAAATCCCCTTTCTTCCCTATTCTGTTGCTCTGTTTGAACTTCAGCAAGTAGTCTTTACCACGTCTAGATGCCTAAATGCATTGAGTTGCTGCCATGTGATTGGCTGATTAGCAATTTGTGTTACCAAGCAATTGAACAGGTGTACCTAGTAAAGTGGCGGGTGAGTGTATTTTAGATCGTCTATACTCCGATGGTCCTCAACCCATTGCTGCTGCTATGTCTCCTTTTTTGCCCCTGCCAGATATGTTTAGCTGCTGTCCTTCCTGTCTCCTGCCTGGTGGTTTGTGATCAGTTCCAGTTCTACCTTCTCCCAGTAGTTTATACGCCCCATCTTCAGCATCACTAGTGAAGTGATCTTAAGAAAATAATGTGTTATCTAAACTTTTGTCACTGATTGCTAGCATGATGCCAAAAGTACAAGGAATATTCAGTAAGTATTGTAGCAGATTTAAATGTGTACCTTTTTTTTTTTTTCTTTCTTTTTACAGGTAAGCAAATAATTTAAATTTAACACAGCACCCTGCATTCACTATATCTGGTCTCTCACAGTACACAGAACATGGAAGTGCAATTATTTTAGTAAACAAACTTCTAAATACCTTTTTTCACCAGCAGTATATAGCAGTGACTTCAGCTGAACATTGGTTAAAGCTTGTTGTAGGAGTTTTCTTTCTGCTCTAGGAGGATGCAAAAACCGTGACCTCTGTTTGGACAGTGCTGATTGGCCCTGTGCTGATCACATGCAGTCTCCTAAGAAAAAAATAAAAACTCTATAGCAATACACACTAAACTAAGCATGTGCATGTGGCTACGGGTTCAATCTGTCTTATCAGAAGACATTTGAACAAGAGGAGTGGCAGAGAAGAAAGGATCAAACGGCCTTTTTACACAATGCAGAGGATTAACACCTTAGGTTCCACAAGCATGCTTTACTGCATATACAGACTGATTTTACTGTTGTGGGTTTAGTAACACTTTAAATCTAGGCCTATGTTTTTAAGAATGTGGCTGACATCCCAAATAAAAAATGTGTTTAGGTATTTTATACTTTTCTTTTTTAGGCTGATGAAACAAGGAATCACATGGAAGTTTGTCCTGAAGCTGCTATAATTATTCAGAATCTTGCAAGCCAATTAAAAAAATATGGAGGAGCTGCTCTCATAGCTGATTATGGACATTCAGGAGACAAGGCGGACACATTCAGAGTATGTATTATAAGGTTCTAACTTAAGATGGCAAACACCAGACCACTTTTGTATGTCTAGGTTTAGGGTCTGTAACCTCCTTGCCTCGTTTACTTAGCATCTCTAAGCTGTTTCTATCCTCTCATACTGAAGTATGGTGGCACCTTCCCCAGCACTAGTGCTTTCCTGTAATACAGTGTCCTTTCAGTTTTTAGATACTTCTAGTGGCTACCTGTAGCTGTCAATTAGGAGAATGTCCATAACTTCATTATTCAGTTCTTCATTTACTTAAAGAGGATCTTCACCCTGTAAAAAAAAGAAAAATAAATTTTTTTAGGGCCAGAAAGTAGGTTATTTGGTTGTCAATGTCATAGTTTATATCAGTGCTTGCAGTTTCGGAGGCAGAAAAAAAAAAAAACAGGCTGCATTTTTTCTGCACAGAACTGTACTAGAACGCAGTAAAACACATAAACGCACATGTCCCTATTTAAATTGAAAAAACAGAGGGGAAAAATGCACTGGAACGTGCCACAAACACGTAAAAAAAAAACACGCATGCAGAAACGCATCTAGAATACGTTTCTATAGTGTGAACCAGCCCTTGAAGTCAACAGCTACAATTTTTGTAGCTGCTGACTTAAAAACCATACTTATCTGTCCCAGGATCCAGCAATTTCAAAATGTATCACAATCAGAATGTTTTCTCAACCTATACAGAGTTCCATGTTGCCATGAGTAATAGCAGTGGAATGGCTTAGCACCTGGAGGCTAGTAAAAGAACCATCACCATTACAGTGTATTGTGGGCAATCCTCTTGGTCATTGTTACTTAGTTAGGTTTAAATGAAACACATGAAGAGGCGATGCTTATTTCATGTTTTAGGTATATAAACTGTATAACTATCTGAAACATGATATCCCCCTTGCTAAGGCTGTAAAAAGGAAAAAAAGGCAGATTTACTTTTTCATGACATGGGCATATAAAGCCAAGAAATCCTTAAAGTTTATGCATCTATAGAATTATACTAAAGTTGTAGCTAAATCCACAGCTCTCTCATAATGTGTATTGTCATTTGACTTCCAAAGTTTGATCTTGAAGTATTTTTTCAGATTGAATATCTATAAGGACAGGTGTTGGAAGCTGTACTGTATCAGACAGAGGATGACAAAGCTTTTACTTTATTTTCTAAAAACGGGCAAATGGCAGCTGCTGGAAAAAGAATCCAAGGCACATCATTTTGTTTGGAAGCCTATAAACACTGTCTCTGTATCCATGTGTACTTGAAGCTAGGTGGCATACTTCAAACAACAGGACATTCTGTTTTGTTATTCAGTGATGTCTTTCATTCAGCCATCAGCCTTACTCAAAGCAGATTTACTGAGGGTCTGTAGAAAAAGATTCTATATTGCTAAAAAAAAAAAAAGGACCCTTCTTCAGAGGAACACAGAGGAAATCTGAGAAAGAAAATATTTTTTTTATATGAGCTTAGAAAGGCATTCATTCATGCATAAAAAGTGCAGTTTGTTTATGCCTTCTGTCTCCTAACCTGTGAAAGAAGCCCCATTGATCAGCCAGATCTGCTGTTCTTCTACCTGACTATTGCCTCAAAATTTACCAAGCTTTGCTATCTGGTTGTCCTCTCATTCCAAGTGGCATTCTTTAGCAATAACCCCACCTTGATGTAATATCTGTTATATATCCTGAAGGTTGAAGAAGTATTAAACCCAAAAACAAACATTTATTGTACTGCAGTATTGAGTTTGCTTTTTTTTTTTTTAGGCTTTCCTCCTTCTACTTTCATCTGGTGATCCAGTCTGTTTTTCAAAAGCACAAGCTCTCCAGCAGAATGTATCAGTTTACATGAATAAGACAATCTACTTACCACTGGCAGTGGTGATTAAAATGATCAGCTTTTATTTATTCATGCAAAATCTTTTATCCCAAAAGGAAATAACAGTTGACTTCAGTTTTATTGTATTGAAATGTGCTAATACATTTAACACAACACTACCCCACCCCCCCCCCGAGTTACAATGTTGCTATCTGCTGTGTTTCCTGTGCTCATTTATCTAGAGTTGTGTCTTACTACTGCAGGAGGTGTGTTGCTGGCCAGGTCACCAGGTGAAAACAGAGGAAAAAGCCAAAGAAAAGAAAACTGATGCAGCTACTACATCTAATGATTGGTAATATACAGTATAACTCATTTTTGATCTTGGGTTTAATGCCCCTTTGAGTAGCCTTTTCTTTTTAAAGGAGAAAAATGGAAAACAGTGATAGAATACACGGTTTTTAAAGTACCTGTATGTGTGTTCATATACAGTGCCTTCTATAGAGTCCCAGACTTCCAAACCCAGAGTGCCCTTGTTATGCCAGTCTCAACTCTATAGTGATGCCCATATAGCACTTTTAAAAGGCTATCTCCATGTTTAGCAACATAATACATGTGACATCCATATCAGGAGTGTAGCATGTTTCTAAGCACCACACCATGGCAGGCAGGCTTGTAGTTCTCAGTGGACTACAGACTACAAATTCACCTCTGTAACTGAAAGCCCGTATAGAGAGCTAGAGGAATTGTCTGCAGGAACCTGACATTGCACCCCACTTCCTTCTGATTATGAGTGCAATATCAGTCTCCTCTGTGTGTAAAAGAAAAAAAAAAAAGTGCACCCCTAGCATCTTGCCAACCAATGATGTCGTCAGAGGACGTCGGTACCAGTTGGCAAAGGTGGTGGAGGACTAATTGCTTCTAATGTTGGGTGACCCACATGTGTGAATGCTGCTGCAATATATAAAACTATTCAGTATGTGGTCAGAATACTGCTTATACAATCAGAGGAAGATGGATCACACCCCACCTAAAAAGTTTTTTTTTTTCCCCCCCTTAGGGGCTGAACGGAAAAATGCTAGCACAAAATCTAGAAACAAGGTGTCAAGTATAAAATGTATTTTTCTCCAGTTTCCTTCTTGTAGTTGTATCTTGTCACATTGCATTTTTAAGACAATTACTCAAACAAGTACTTTTCAGTTCCACATACAAACCTGAGATTTGGAACACCTAACTTATACACAAGGATGAGGTCATTAATCTACCCATATTCAGCTGTACCGAAATAGCATACCTAGAGAAATAAGATCAAAAGATAATGGTACACTTTGAAACCTACACATTTTTGCAGCATTTACTAAACCAACCTGCTTCTTCAAATAGAGGCCATCTTTCACATGACATATGCATCATGGGATCAGCTACTATTGGTGATTCTATGAAATAAGGATCATGGTACATGACATACAGTACATGATACATGGTTGTTGTATGAGTACTTTATTAAAAAGGTAAAACTTGCAACGCTACAACAAAACTAAATGTTCTAATTTGAAACCTAAAGTGTTAACAATCACAAGCGGAGCTTGTTGCACTGACTGACGTTACAAGCTCATGTCTTTGGAGTTAGACAGTGGCATACATGTGAGTAAATGTATGCCAGCTTTTTCTGTTGATTGTACTTTAACGTGGTTTTATATAATAAATGCTATACTAAGATGCTTCATCCCACGTTTATGTTCATGTGATGGAACATTGAATATTGGGTCATGGAGGAAAATTGGGAAACTCCACCTAGAGTGGATTAGTGCCAGTGAATTCTCAGGCAGAGGAAACCAATCTTGCAGCTATACAGGTGCAGTATTTTGTTGTTGGAATTACAATAGTGATTATACTTTAGATACATGTAGCATTTAGTAAAAAAAAAAAAAAAATTCCTACCTAAATTACCAGCCAGCCTGCAACAAACCAAATTACCCTGTCTAACAATTAACGTTAAAACAAGGGTTTAGTTTAGTTTGCAAATATATGCGCAAGCTGCAGAGGCCCAGTGTGCTGCAGTCCTAACTATCAACTTTGAGTCTCCAAAACTGGAGCACATACTTTATATAATGTATAGATTGAGGGCAGGCATGCCTGGAGGGATCCCACCCCTCCTTAAAGGTATAGGGACTGGAACCCAGCAATAGCACCATGGCATCGAAGGTATCCAGTGTGTCCCTTCACCAATCGTACAAACAAATGGCAACCATCCCAACCTAATAACCAGCCTTTGCAGCAAGGAGCATATAGAATATGCATATATTTTGGAAATGTGTGAGCTCGGAATGTTTGTTGTTTTTTTTGACATGCGTCGCCCTTTCATGTACTCCTTGCTGCAAAGGCCAGGTGTAGGTTGGGGTGGTTGCCATTTTATTGCACTGTTGGTGAATTGGTGAGGGGGAGCACTGAATATCTTTGCTGCTGTTGTACCACTGCTGATTGTCCAGTGTGTCCCTATACCTTTAAGGAGGGGTGGGCTCTCTCCCAGGCATTCCTGCCCTCAATCTATCTATTATACTGTATATGTGCTCCAGCTTTGGAGACTCTCAAAATGTATAGAGTTAGGACTGCAGTACACTGAGGTGCTGTGACATGGCCTTTGCAGCTTACGCATATATTTTCAGATGTGTTCTGTTAAGGTAATTCAGTTTACAAATCTTAATGGATAGTAAGTAGTAAAGCATGGCAATACAAACACTGAAAAGAGTTTTCTTCCATGCTTTAGCATATTAAAAAGGTAGGTAAAATAGATTGCACTCACATATACATGTGCTGCTCCCAGCACTAAAATATTAGCATAGAATGGATAAAAACGTTAAGCTCTGCTGCTCTGAGCAGGCATGCGTTCCACAAGCTGAAACCAAGTCACCAGAAGTGCCCCAGTTAACGTCCCTTCCGGTGACTTGGATTCAACTTATGGAACCCACACCGGCTCATATAGGAAAGAGCAGCAGAGCTGAACAGGTTTATCCATTCTATTGCCTAGATATTAGTGCTGGGGAACGGCGCATGTATATGTGAGTAATGTAGCCATCATGCATACAGAGATGGACGCGGTTCTCCTACTTGTTAAAGGGTCTTCCATCTTCTATCATGTCCTCCCAAATCAGCTTTCCTCATCCCCCCTCCCTCTCTGTTGAGTGACATGTGG